TCTCATATCTTGTGAAGTGTGCCTTCATGTAGTAAACAAAAAGAAGAAAGTGACGAGAGGTGGGTCAGAAAGTGCAGTGCGCCGGCAGACCAGCTATTCTTCCTTTGTCGTCGGTTGCCTCAAGGAAATGTATTGCGAGACTCCCTTTCTCGGCCATTACACTGGGCAGTCATGAAACAGACATCAACTCAGCCGCGCCTACTTCGACTTCCTCTTTGTCCGTCAGTCAATTTGTACGTCCAACTCTATTGCACGAAGTCTGCCGAATGACTCCCAACATCATCGTGTCGCTGGCACCTCGCTTTTTATGCCAGTCTGATATGGCCGAAATTTGCATGTGTGCAGATATCGTCTCGTTTCGGACAAGATCTGTGCGCATAAATTGTGTCTTCAATAGCGGCCATATTTTTTTTCACTATTACTTTGCAGGCAAGACACGTTCGCATTCGTTTTGAACTTCGAGGTAAGTCATGTCTTTCGTCACACTTCAATTTGCAGATAACAGTTGAACTATTTCCCAGATGTTTGAAAAATAATCAACAGTTGCGAGGTACTCGATGCTGTCAAATTCAAATAAGTTAATATCAACCTTCTGCTACAGATGATCGGGTATGTTGTGTAGCATTAGTGTCTTAGTTTGTTGTGAACTTGCAGCAAGTTTCACATGTGGATATGTACTCCTGTATGTCCAATGACATACCTGGCGAGCAAACACATTCTCTGGTTCGCTGTAGACATCCATCAATGCCTATGTGCAATGAGTGACGTGCGTATAAACTCACTCCACAAACTTGGTCACCTTTAAATATGAGACCATCTTGAGCGGACATCTCATCACGTAGATGGAAATATGGGTTTAGTGTAGCTGGAAGATTTGTTTTATCAGACAGCCACCCCTGTAATATGGTTTTCTTCAGCTGGTCGCATATTTCAACCTGGCCTGTTGTGCTGTGGATCTGCACAAGCCTTTTGTCAGAGATTGGGAGGAAGCTGACCATATTCATATGCTCAAACTGTTTGATAGTTATTTTCATTTGTCAAATATGATTGCGATAGCATGTCTGCAATGTACATGTGCTTTCCCTGGATATATACTACATCGATGTTGTATTTTTGTGTCTGTAGTAACATTCCCTATAGACACTGGTGTTTTGGCCAGGGGTTTCTTTACTATGGCCTCTAATGGTTTGTGGTCAGTCTGAATTTCTGCCCTTCTACCATAGGTGTATTGGTGAAATTTCTCCAATGAGAATATTATTGCAAGCATTTTTTTCAATTTGGGTGTATCTCTGTCTCACATATGCTACAGGCTCTCCTTGCTGTAGTAGGGCTGCACCAAGTCCTTCTGAGCTTGCATCACACTGAATTACAAGTGATGAATTTGGGTCATAAAAACTGAGTAATGAGCTTTTGTCACAAGTTGCTTCATTTCTGCGATTTCTGGATCAGCTACATGACAGAGGATAGTTGTGGCAGAAACCTTGCCAGGTAATTCACGGTTCCACAAAGTCGCTGTATCTCCTTCCACTGATGTGGGTGCTTGCAACTTGGTGATTGCATCAATTTTAGCAGGGTCTAGTAGTAGGCCATCACAAGTTACAAGATGCCCCATAAAGCTGATTGCTGATTCCTTGAGCTGGACTTTTTCTTTGTTTAGTTTGATTTTCTTCTCTTGGCATCATTGTAGTAGCAATTTCAAATTCAAATCATGGTCTGCTGATGCTTGATCGAGTTTGTCACCTGAACCAAATACAATGATATCACCAGCAACACACACAACTCCATTCAGGCCGTCCAGAGCAAGGTGAAGACGTTTCTGAAATATTTCAGAACTCACACATGTTCCAAAAGAGAGTCTGAGCCACTGATATCATCCAAAATCTGTCTGAAATGTAGTGAGGTAGCTGGATTTATTGTCCAATATTACATGCCAGTAAGCTGATGTCACATCCAATTTGGTGAAGTATTTTACATTTGTTTAGCCTTGGTAGCACTACATCTATGGTTGGTAACTGGTATCGTTCATGCTTCAGTGCCTTGTTCAGGGGTCTTGGATCAATACAGATACAAATCTCACCTGAGCTCTTTGTTGCAGTGATCATTCTGCTATTCCAGTCTGTAACTACATCAACAGGAGCAATAACTCCGAGTTCCTGGAGTCACTTTAGTTCCTTTTTTAACTTGAGGAATTATGGACACTGGCATCCGCCCTGCTGTGGCAGTATGCAATATGACAGTTGCATCAACTTGTAAATACACCTGCTCAGGTAATGATCCTAGTTTGCCATTGAAAACATCTGCATAGTCCATTAGGAGTTGTACTCTAATACTGAACTAACATTAGTGATGTTATTGTAATTCACAGTTATTAGGTTCATCTGGTCACTTGCGCATTTTCCTAACTGCCTGACTACAGAATATTTCTTCATATTTTGAGGGTTGCACAGCACAATTTGGCAATTTTCAATGGATACTAGTTCCATCCCATTCCACATCTTGAGTTTCGTGATAGACGGTTGCAGATAGGTATTACACACATATTTCTGCGAGATTACATTGATGGTAGCTTCACAGTTCACTTGGAACTTCACTTTCTTTTTTCTAGCATCATATTTGCATAGATAATCTTATCTGGCTGTTCTCCCTCTAAGTTTACATAGAGCATATATTCACATTCAGTGTCACTGGAAGAATTTGACAAAACAGTTAATTTTGTGCTTAGACTTAACCTCCATTTTTCCCATAAAAAGCTTCCTCAGGCATTTCATTACAAAATGGTTTTTACTGTTACAAAATTTACATTTTTGGCCCCACACAGGACATGCTTATATCCATTTTTTGTGTATCTTGCCACAGAAATTACAGTCTATTTGTCCCTGTTTAGTACGGTATTTCTGTTTGTAGCTTTGTTTTTGTACTGTTTATTTCGTCTATCACCTCTCATAGCTTTCAACTGTGTAGTTGTAGCCTCACAACTTCGGCATATATCAATACATTGTCCAAGATTGTGTTGAAAGCTGTAGCACTCTTTTACATGCCTAGTTGTCTCTTACACCCAGCACTATACGGTTGCATAGCAAAGAATCATGCAGACACTCACAAAAATTGCAAGACTTCATGAGGTTGTGAAGCATGGTTAGATATGAATCAATGCTCTCACCTTGTTCCTCGTCTCTTTTGTTGAAGACATACCGTTCGTAAATCTTGTTGGTCTGTCTGATAAAATGTTGATCAAACTAGGCTATTACCAGGTCCAAGCCATCTGTTTTCCATTGAAGTGAATTGAAAACCGTTGTAGACTATCAACATGTCTGGTCCGATAGCATGGAGAAATAGTGCCATTTGGTATTCCTTATTTTGTTTGCGCAGCTTGGTTACAATGCTGTAATTATTCCACATCTGTTTCCAGAGCTTCCATCCTTTTGAGGCATTAGTCTTAATGTCCAGTTTGCCCAGTGGCAATATATTTGACTGGAATCCTTCCACCATATTTTACACATGAGGTCACTTTTTTCTTTCTGTGTTATCATCACTCCAAATGCCGGACGCTGCTGAAACAGCTTACGTGGAACTGCCTTTTTTGATGGTATCGGTCCCCATTTGCAGGGTTGTAAAGTGTGAATTACTTCCTCGCTGCGACAATTTTACATTGTTATAGTAAACAGGACGGACACAGGTTTGAAGTTTGAGAGAGCGCCAACACAGAACATGACTGGCCTTTATTGGGTACCGGCAGAAAGTGAATGAGACAAGGAGTTAGGGAAAAAGGAGACAGATCAGGGAGCGAGAATCACGTTCCTCACCGTCAATTAGGGAGCATACATTAACGGTAGTACAAAGGGAGTATACATTTAAACAATTTACATTATTTTGAATTCCTTTTTAATTTTATATTTCCTTTTTGTCGTTGGCGCTAAAAATTAAAGTGCGTAAACGTTATTTTTATATTTTATGCAAAAAGTAAGCATTACTTTTTTTAGAGAAATCCTTAATTTTACTAAGTGACTTTGAAATGCATCTCTAGTAAAAATATTAGATTTTAAAGAGATTTTTAAATTTTTTGTTTACAGTTTTCTTCATCGATAATGGTGCTTTGAGGTGTGACAAGTGAACTTCAGGATAATTTTTCTTTCCTACAGATTATCTTTTTCCTTGTGTGGAAGTGCTATTATTGTTCTAATAAAATAAAAATAGTACTTAAAAAAAAAAAGGCATAAATTATTAAAAATTCTAAAAATTAATTTAAATGCCTCATTTTTTTTTTTTTTTGTAGAATTATTTTAAAATAGAAGATTTTAACTCTATTTTTTTTTTAGCTCTAATTTTGGCGGTACCGAATATTTACTATCATTTTCTTTTGATTTAAAAATAATGTAAGTAGCCAAAAGGGAGATGTTACTGACCACGTTGAGAAAATGAATAAAAAAAAGAAACCTTTTTTTTTCAATAGCCAAGTTAAGTATCACAAACAAATCTTGTTTTTGTTTGTTTGCGTATGATGATGATGAAAACTTTAAACAAGTTTAAACTATTTAAACCCTTTATAAAACTAATTTTAAATGACCAATAATTTAACAACTGTAAACAGACAAAAAAAAAAAAAAAAAAAACTTGTTTTAGTGAACATTAAAAAACAAGCTGTCATTTTTGCGCATTGCCGCTTCAATTTTCCTGCTTGTTTGAATGTCTGGATCTTTAGAGGAAATAAAAAAATAAAATAAAATACACTAGCAATGGCTGTGGTTTAAGAAGATTGATTGAGAACTTTTTGTAATTAATCTTTATATCAATTATAAAAACCCTAGAAAGTAATTTTAATTTTTAATTTATTTGATGTTGTAATAGTGAGTAGTGAAAGGCATACGTCAGGGCATTACCTTTTTTTAAGCAAGAAAGAGAAAAAAATAAATTACCACGAAAAGAAAAAAGCAACAGTTGAACATTATATGATGATGGTGGAATTAAAAAGATAAATAAAAAAAAAAACAAATTATTCTCACTTTAAGGCGAATAAAGTGATGAGTACCAAATTTCGGGTTGTCCCATTCTTCTGGGGGTTCACCTTTCAACTCTGACGAAGTTTCATTGCTTTCATTAATTTTCTTGTTATGGGCTGAAATGAATTTGCAAAACACGTACTGACATGCATTATTCAACAAGCAGTTCATTCGAATCAGAAAATGAAAACAAGACCGCAATATCCAAGAAACGAAAGCAGGCATATTCCGTTTTAAATATTTTGTGCTTCTCTTTATCTTTGAAAAAAAAATTATTGCACTTGAAATAAGTTTGTTTTTTTATTTTTTGTATTTTTAGAAAAAAAAAATGGCGACTTTAAGACATTTTCTGTCCAATTGAAAAACGGCTCCCTGCCTCAACAACGCTACCTTATCACGTGATGTAAACAAAAAGCACGTTAGAATATCTCCGAACACGGTTTGAAGTTTTAACAAAATGTATTGCAGAGGTTTTTTACAGTTTATAAAAAAAAGGGTGAATTTGGGTGTTGACTCCTCATCAGAAATATTATGTGCAAAGAACTGGCTTTTCTTTTGTGTGTCAAAACCTTTCAGGACATCGGTGATCATTACTCTCCACAACTTCCTGTTTTTGTTGCTCTCTAAGATAAATTTTGTTTGAGTACCATTCTATTACCACCCCTTCCCCCGCTTGCTCTACCATTCATTCATATAAAAAAAGGCTACTTGCTGTTTCATCGTGCTTCTTCTTACCTTCAATAGGCCCTCTTCTCTTTCCTCCTCCTCCTCCTCCTCCTCAATATTATCCCAGAAATTTCTACTGTCTCTTTCTGATTGCAAGCATCAGTTTCCTTGTAGTTTTTATTTTCCTTAAAACTTCCTTCTTGCTGGCATGTTCTATCCATGGTCATTGGTATTTTTAGCGTTGGTCAGTAAAACTATCTCTGCTACAACGTCTTATTAAAATCTTAACTTTTTAGCTACATGGTTCATCAATCTGTCTGATGGTGCTCATATAAATTTGAATGTTTACTTTGGCATCACTATGAAGATAAGATCTACTAAGGTAACTGCTGTCATATGTAACCAGAACCTACACACAAACCACTAGTGGCCTGTTGTTGAGCTGCTGATGGCAATGCTAGCGGTCGTCTGGTGGCAGTTACCAACAGTGGGCCACTAACAGACTGGCAGCAGGCAATCAGCAGTAATGCTAATAGCATGCCACCCAGTGGCAGATTGGTGGCTTGTGTGTAGAGTAGTGAGTGCAAAATAATAATAACTCCCTCCTTCACCCACTCTTCATATCAGAAGACTGAGGAAGAAAAAAGAAAGAAATTCATGGGCCTATGTTAGATTTTTGCCTTTCACAGCAATTAACCAGAAAGCCGAGAAGAAGGAAAAATTTGCGAGCTTATGTGAAATTGTTTTTGAACCAATGAAAACTTTGACTTCACAGAAATTAGCCAGTGAGCCAAGAAGGAAAGAAAGTAGCAAGATTACACAAAAATAAAATGAGTAGAAAAATTAAATTAATGAGAAGAGTGTTTAAAGTCATGTGAAAGGTTTATTTTCATTCCTCATGACCAGTGTTGAAGTACTTGCTAGTGTAAAATAACCAGCATGTGGCACTTCAAAGAATTTTCTCTCAACAATCCAAGGAAGCTAAGTATTTCAAGCTATCTCTTTTTGTCGACCTTTGAATGTATGCAAACTATATATCCCTTCAATGAGCAACCAACTCTCTCACATTTGTCTTAAACATTTTTTAATATTATTTTGTCAGATCATGTAATCTGTTTGAACATTTCCTCTTCATGACAAGATGTTAAAACTACGGACTTTAAGAATTCTGATTTGTTTTCTGGAAATGAGCTACTGACACTATGTTTCCACATCATTATCATCCTTCATTTATCTTCTTGGTGTGGGTAAATCAACTTTTCATTTTAACCCCTAAACTCCATGCCACTATACATATATTTCAAAATTTAATAATATTCTTGATCTCAAAATCATCCAAGTCTGTTGCCATCTTTATTACAATCTCATCCAGTTCTACATCTTCATCTTAGTCAGTACTAATGTATGTTCCTCTCCTCTGGTGCCATGGAAAACCCGCCTACATATTTGTTTCATCCTTACTTTTTGTATGTTCCTCTCCTCTGGTGCCATGAAAAACCCGCCTACATATTTGTTTCATCCTTACTTTTTCTATTATGATTATCCCCTCTTTAGATTTTATGTCTCCCATCAAGGAGCCTGTTTTCTGTCTTGCTATTTATTTTAATTTTTATGCATGCCTGCTATGTCTGTTTCATAATATTTCTATCTCTACACACTTCTCAGTGAACAATTTGTCTTTTGCTTTTATTTCTAATATGTTTATTTAACATCTTATATTCTGTGCCATTCATTGGCACTATTTTCTGTCTTTTTCATTAGCTTGAGACCTACAGCTGCATATATTTATTTGAGTTTTTCTGGAGTTTTAAGTAATTTAAATTAGTCATTGCTTTAGTTTTCTTTTTTACATCTAAGTTTTGTTATTTTATCCTTATCTGCATATGAGCAGAAAGTAATCACTTTCATGGTATGTTTTAATGTTTTCAGTTGCAATCATATTAACTTTTTAACTTTGGATATAATTAAATCATTCTTAAAATGTAATAGCATATTTCTAAATCTTTTATAGTAATCTGTCTAGTTTCTTAAGTCTCCTTCTGGCCTTTATCATGTCCAAAAGTGTCTTGGTCTTATTTTTTTATTTAGGTTTCTCAGGGCGATGATAATAATTTTTGCAATTATTTAGTGTATTATAAAACTTTTTTTCCATACTTTGTGACATGGATTCATATACTACTATGATGGTTACATTGAATGGTTTCCCTTTCAACTTCAGTAGACAGATGCTAATATCCCAGAACATATTTCTCCTTATCTTTATCTAATATTAGTCCCACTCCTCCCTCATTTCTACCTCTTCATATATGATTCTGTATTTGTCACTATTGAAGTTTTTGTTTATACATTTAGTGACATATACCTCTAAAATGTTAATATTTAGCCTTCCATTTCATAACTCCCTATTTTCTTAACTCCCGATATTAGTACATGGTCATAAAATTCCATGTTTTGATTATAATTTTGTCCTTGTTGAGTACAGTTGCCAAGTAACATTTGTCATATATATATATCCTTACCAGGCAAGGAGTCAGTTCCACTGGAGCTGACCCCTTCATGCCAATTTCTATTATGTTTGCATGATTTTTCTCAGGGGGCTTCTTCCTTTTTCACAGTGATTTTATTGAGACACCACCTCTAGTTAGCAGACCATTGATTTTTTGAGTTCATCTGTCCTTTGATAGGTCTTATTTTTCTTCCTACATGGTTGCTAACTATTCTCCTTGTTCTCATTGAAGCTACTTGACAACATGATGAAAAATGTTTCCTCTGAATAGTCATATCAATTCAATGATGAAAGAAAAAATTCATTATGGATCATTTTTGTCAGGGCCCAAAAAGTTTAAGATATGCTATATGTTGAGCATTATGAAACAGTTTTGTATATAAGAAATAAAAATGAGTTTATGATGTTCAAGCTGGTCCAGAATTTTTTAGCAGTTTTAAATTTAATAGTATAAAAGTAGATTTACAAGCTTCCATGAAATCAAAATGAGATAAATAAAGAAAGAGAATCTTATTTTTCCAGCAAAGGACATTAGGATTAAGATGTTTGATTTTTTTCTTCTTTTATTTTTTCATATTTGTTTTTTAAATTATTGACATATTTTTTAATCTAATGTACTGTAATGATAGAAAAATAAATAGTAACAAGGAAACCAAAATTTCACCACATCTAAAAATAGATAACTATTCAAAATCGCTAGGCCATGAAGTTATATTTCTATGAACCAATCAGAAATGGTTCCAATAAAGATTTGCTGTCATAGTCTGACAAACTAATCAGAATCAATTCCAACAAAGATATGAACATCATAGACAGGTGAGATAACTGGAGACAAGATCTGTTCTCAACCAAGATATGAGTTTATGACTTGTGGACCAGTCAGAAGTCAAGCAACAGTTTCTAAACAGATCTCTTTGTTTCACCAACATATGTATATAAGGAAATGAACTTTCAAATCACACTAAAATTGATGAATTAATTTTATCAATTCTCTGATGCTGTGGTGATCATAATCTACCCAGGAAATATTATCCAAACATTTAAGACTTCATTTTTTTTTTTTACCATATTTCTGAGCATTATCAAGACCAGATAAAAACAGTAAATACTATTTGCTCATATTTTTTATTTTTTGTTTTGTTTATATTTTTTATTTTGTTTTTATTTCTATTTTTTTTTCAATCAATCATGGTTAATTGCAGTTTGGATTTTGAGTCATTGTTGACTCCATGATCCTTTCATTAGCGGCATATAGAATGTGCTTTGCCAGAGATACATATGGTTTTTAAATTCAGATCCTAGACTGACTGCAAACCAAGGCTGAAGAGCCCAGTATAGCTGGGAAGAGAGAAATGGAGTAATACCTTTATTTAGTGTATTTGCATATAAGTGAATGTAATGAATTCAACTGGAATATTAACTTGGTTCTCTGATATCTTATTCCAAGATATTGTCCATTGCACCACCTGCATAATCCAGTTCAACTTTTAAAATTACCATTATAATGATGTCATGCTGCTGGCAATATATAAGCAAAACTTTTATTCAGCTACTTCCTATGCCTATTAAGTTAAATACATTCAAAATCCCAGAACCCAAACTGGGGAGAGTATTATATCTATATGTGTACACTTGTGCATCAGTAGCATGCATATTGGGAGGGCATCCAATCAAAGAGTGAGTGAAATAAAAATTTGGTTTTTGAAATCTGAAATTGTCTCTGTTAAATTGTTGTACAAGCGGCCTACAGTCTCACAAGCTGGTATGAATGTAGATTTGTGTTTTGATAAGCAGGACTGGAGTAGGCCCCTCTATTTGGGTCTTAGAAACATACAATCAAGAAGTACTTCTCACTCTTACAGTGCATTTCTTGCCTTATACAATTGTAATATATGGAAAAATATTCGTGAATATGAAAGGATTATGAAAAAATAAGCAGACAATGTTTGTAATTTATTCAATCAGATATACCTAAAAGAGAATTTACTGTCTAAATACATAAATATATATATATATATATATATATATATATATATATAAGTGAATATTGAAG